GTGTATATGTCTGTCTGGCAGGTATCATCTGACCTTGACCTCATTTTCATAGTTCATTGGTCAATGTTAAGTTTTCATGGTTAAGTTTGTTTCTTAGATACTATAAGCAATAGGTCAACTATATTTAATGCCTAAATTGATTGTAAGGTGTACATGTCTGTCTGGCATGGTTCATCTGACCTTGACCTCATTTTCATGGTTCATTGGTCAATGTTAAGTTTTCTTGTTTAAGACTGTTTCTTAGAAACAATAAGCAGTAGGTCAACTATGTTTGGTTTATTGAATGATTGTAAGGTGTACATGTATTTCACTATTGGTTTATCTGACCTTGACCTCATTTTCTTGGATCATGTTAAGTTAATGTGTTACTTGTAGTGAAGCTTTGTATTTAGGACTATCAACATAAAATCAATGGTTAGTGAAGAAGGTGAGACATTTCAGCGTGTGCACTCTTGTTATATATGGGTACTATGTTCAGGAGGATGAATTCTAATATATATACGTAAAATACCTGAAGGTTTTGGATCAACATCCTGGATCTGGATTTCCTTATCAACCACCATCATTGTTAACGCATCCAAGTCATAAACTAGAGCCTTTACATGGTCAGTTCGATCTGCCAATATCACATATTACGAATACTTATACAAATACAGCCGATAGATTAAACTCAGCACCATTGTATATTGATGATTATACATATAGTATCAGCTCATTCAGATTTGAAAAGGTTAGCAAAATAACAGCACCATCTGAAAATGGGAAACCTAGATTATCTCAAGCATGTGAATCAAAGCAAATAGTAATTATCATCACGACGAAATATACTTATTGTAAGACCTGATACATTGTAATGTGAACAAATTAGAATTGGATTTATCTATATCAAACATTTGTCAAATGCAGTTCTCAGTGCTGTTGATATACCAAATAATAATGACTGCTAAGCGCCACTGTGTACAGTGGCAGATCCAGAACTTTTCATAAAGGGGGGGCCTATATAATCAACCAAGGGGAGGGGCGGCCCCCAGCCCCCTTTTTGGATCCGCCTGGGGTGTACAACGACTCCAAAGAATAAATCATCATGTACGAAGCCATTAATCTGTCTACCCCACATGCGAACATCATTTGGGACCTCGCTGTGTTGCAAGTATCTTGGGTTTTCAGGCATGTTAATTTAAATTGCTCATTAATTGCTGCCTTTTTTAATTTCATCTATCTATAGTAGTAGTCATTAAACAAACTATAGTGCACTGAAACCCTTGCCCATAACTAAACCGTGATGCTGGGTGTTTACTTCCTTGCACACACGCAACCATATTACTCACTTTGTTTGTTTTACATTCTTCTAATCAGCTGTTTATCGGAAATATTGTCTGTTTTGTTTACATCAGAAATCAATGAAGCGGTGAATGCGCGGGGAAACGAAAGGACATCTTCGTATCAATACGGTAAATTCCGTGATTTGAATATTTTCTAATCAATATGTTCAAGCAATGAAAAATATGAGGATAACATTTTTAATCATAGAGCACACGTTTTATGTATTTACTATTTAAAATTATAGTTTATGAAGAAATATAGCAAAATATGTTTCAATACGCACTATAAAGTGAAGATTAGATGTATTATTGTTTTGTTTTTTAAAGAACATTAATAATCCATAAATACACACCTTTGTACCGAAATTGCAACAAAATTTCAAGATAACATAAATTTCATTATCACAGAATGATATTTTTGCTAAAATTGACGTCTTCGTGAACTAAATTAGGCTTAAATAATGATAGCAATTGAACACTTCATTATAGTTTTTACCGATGATCTACTATCATGATTTTTTTCCGACCCCACTTACGGACGCGTTGACATATAATGCATACAACTCAATAATAGCCAATCAGACGTTAAGATATCCTTCACTTCCCCCAGAAGCAGCCCGGAAGCAGCTGAGAGGCAGCCATTTAATGTTATTTATATGCAGGTTGCAGTCTTGTAATTGACTGCTCCATAGGCTTACATGCAAAACAGCTCATCTTTGAAAATAAAAAAATAAAAAATGCTACATAGAAAAAAAATTTCATGTTCATATCATGTATGTATTAATGTGAAATTGTGATTTAATCGAAAAAAAAGTGGGTCATGCCACGAAGAATAAAAAGTTATGTAACCCTGTTGTCAAAACAATTTTTTTCTACTTTCTGTTTGCTGTTTTTACTAGGCCGCACCACTTCCAGTAAACATGATATCCTTCCACTTTCTTGGATTGATATCCCCAAAAAGATGCAAGATTTTTTTTAAATCTATATATATGTTTGAATTCAGCATAAACTTTTAATCAAACAGAAAAAATTGAGTCCAGAAAAAAATTCTGAAAAAAATGGACTATTTTATTTACCTCCATGTTTTGACATGCACCGGAAACTGGAGTTGTAATACAAGACTGGTACCTATAACCAATGAGATACCGTTAACGGTAATAACCACATTCCAGACGTCCAGCCTCTGACTAATCAGACCGTATCACTACGGTAAAAATAAAGTATTGTTGGTGTTAAAATAACATGGAAATGCCTAAAATGCTATTATTATTCAATAATATTTTGTTGAAACTGTATTTTGATGTATATTGGGGTATATTGGGGTATATTGGGGTAAAAAGTCACGCCGCCACCCACTATATGATTTTTTTTTCTGTACATCATTCATTTTGTTATCAGTATTCTAGCTAATTCTTTTATTTTCCAAATTTTTGTTCTTTATAATTTTGCTGGCATCCCATTATTTTCTATTTTTTTTGGCTTATTTTTCTCTATTCATTATTTTTTTTGGGCCATTATTCTCTTGCGGTGAACTATTATAGTTGCTCAAACCCACAACAGTTAGATAGTTGTCACCTTGGCAATCATACCAAAGAGCCTTATCATATATTGTTTTTAACCTACAATGTTGTGAAAAGTTGACACACTTTGTTTTGATTATCACAGAGGAAAACTCGCATCAAGTTATTAAGCATATCATGTAAAAAAAAAGATAGCTCTTTTGAAATTCCTACAGAAAATAAAAAGAAGAAATGGGAATCTCAGATTTAGTTTCACTATAATATAACAAAAAAAAAAAAAAAAAAGAAAAAAAATACTATACATTCCTTTATTAAATCAAATTATATCAATTTACATAAAAGTTTGTTTTTAAATTTTGAACAATTTAGTCGTTACCATAAGATATAAACAAGCACATAAGATCTCTCATGTAAATGAAAAGTCACTCAAATTAACAGCATTAGTTTTTGCACCAATTTCTTACTTTAATAAAAACAAGGACCGATCATTTGGTGTTACTTAGCACTCCAAGATGGCGAAATACTTTTATTCTATATTTAATACGGATTTTATGTTATTAAAATTTGCTGTTATAAAATTTTGGAAATTATTTCAAATTAAGGAATATATCTCCCTCATGCAAAGCTCTGATTCCTTGCCCGGCTATACCCTTTTTTGTGCTTTTTAGTTTATAGCTCTTCATCTTTTTAATAAGCTTTGGATTTTCAAATATTTTGGCCGCGAGCATCACTGTAGAGACATTGATTGTCGAAATGCGCATCTGGTGCAGAAAAATTGGTACCGTTTATATTACTGATTATCAGAAGACAAGTTCCCCCGTCCTTAAAATAAGACAAATTATCAGAAGACAAGTTCCCCCTCCTCAAAATAAGACAAATGTCTAACAAATCTGTGACAGACAGTACGTAGTCGCCCTTTTGAAAATGACTTCACTTAACAAACTGAAGGACTGACACATTTAAGAATTGAATGCTTCTTTTTTTTAATTTGGAGTGTAAAAGCATTGACCGAAGCATGTTTTGTATGAAGCGCTTCCACTAAGAAAATTATCACGATCAACGCTTTTACAGCCTTATAAAATTATAAAAAGAAGCATTTAATTCTTATAAATACATTTTTATCCCACAACCATGAAATTCAGAGTTATATCAAGCTTTTTGTTATTGTTTTTCTATACATTGTTTTCACAGTTTCACGGATAGCACGTGCAGTCATAGCTGTTGTATTTTATACGGAAATAAAATATGATATTGGAGTGCCTCACGATTGTTGTCAGCCAATCAAAATTACGGATTCATGCAAATAAAACATCCATGTAATGTAATTATACGGAAATAAAATATGATATTGGAGTGCCTCGCAAACGTGGTCAGCCAATCATAATTACGGATTCAAATGAAACATGCATGTAATGTAATTATACGGAAATAAAATATGATATTGGAGTGCCTCGCAATTGTGGTTAGCTAATCAAACTTACGGATTTAAATGAAACATGCATGTAATGTAATTATTGATACGTACTTCATTTCAAAGCTAGGTCAGCCTAGCACAAGTTCAAAATTGACTATAAACTTTGAAGTATAGTCGAAATACATGATTTATTTTTGAGTATTTCACGAATAGTAACCTCAAATCGTGCAACAAACAAACATCGCCGTATAGAATTTCGTACAAAAAGAAAGAAAGACCTCATCCCATCTTTGCTTCCTACAGAATGTAATATTTTTTTACCGAAATGTACGGACAAACAGACCCTCCTCTAAAGTAAAAATTACAATTCCCTTATGTGTACCCTTTTTTTTTTTTAAATATTTTAAACGCTTTTATAATTCTATATATATATTTTTTTTAAGAATTCTGTTAATTTTCAGTAACAAATAACATAAGATAAAATAATATGGCTCTGAGTATGTAAATCATCACCCCCTTGTTACTGTACATATTTTTAAAAGTAAAAGGATATAGATACCATTACGTCAAGTTGGTTTTACATAACACAAACAGGAAAATAAACACGACCCCATTCAGACAATATTTTTAAATGGATTTTCCCGCTGTCAAATTATTTAATCTATGGATGACGTGACGATTTCACGGTTCCAAAAACAAGCTGTTGTGTAATACACATTGTTATCTATCATTTTTGGTAAACGTTCACTTCAGATAGTAGGATCGTTAAATGATGAGGTTGTTTTTTATTGTACTATTCCTATTCCTACAAACATTGTCATTTTTATGGGGTCAACCTAACTTCTTTAATTTGCCAAGGACAACCATAGTGAATCTTTCATATTGTCAAAATATTATTAACAGTGTAGTTACCAGTGATGATTGTGGGGCCTCAATTGATTGTAGAGGGACTGCACGCTTTGTTTCTTGTCTACAAAGTGATAGTGGTTCAAAACTGAATGGTTCGAAGTGTTCAGAAACCGCCAGCTCTGACGAATGTTCAAGAAAATTACAAGGTAAGTGTAAAAAAAGCATTAATTATTAGAAAGTTTTTTTTTTGAAAAGGAAAAGAAAGTATAGGAAGAGATTTTTAATATGCGATAGATAATCACAAGTTATGATAAATGCGGGGATAAATGCCAGGAAAGATGTATCATTGTTATCAATGTGGTCCTCATCCGGGATATGATGATATTTGGAGGCCATCAACAATAGTTTACAAAATGTTCCCTTGGTATCAACTTTTAACAGTGATGCATATACACATGATATTTTGAGCGTAAAATAGTGTCTTGCAGTGAATGAGATTCTGTCATAAATCAAACCTCTCTGATAAAAAAGGATATAATACCGTGTAAAGTTATTAGCAGGATTTTTGTTCATTAACGGAGATTCAATGTTTGAGAAATAAGAGCTCCATTCCGAGAATGTCTGCATGCAACTATTGCGTACCCTTATATTGAAATAATTACACCAATGATACCGAAATACAATACATCAAATATGGAATATAATGTGTTTCTTGATTTTAAATTAAAGTATTTTTCACCTTCCAGAGAGACAACAAACATGTTCTAGGAGAAATTCGGGTTTACTTCCGGATTCTAAATTTTGCCATTTGTATTACGATTGTTCTGACCCTGCTAAATCGAGGATTTGTCAGTATCCTAAATTATTCTCAACAAATACGAACACATGTCGAGACTTCAGGAGTGTCAAGTGTGGGTCCAGGATAGAGTTCAAATCTTACTGTAAGCATAATTAACACTAAAACTTTATATCATTTTATTTTTTATGGTTTTATTTCAAGTGCTTTGACAAACGTACTGTTATATACAAGTAAGGAGATGTGGTATGATTGCCAATAAGACAACTATCAACCAAAGTTTAAATGAAGTGGATGTAAGTAATTATAGGCAATCGTATGACTTTCAACAATGAGAAAAACCCTTACCGTATAATCGGCTATAAAAGGCCCCGACATGAAAAATATGGAATAATACAAGTGAGAAAACTAACAAAACAATTAACAAAAAAAATAAACATGGCAGACAGGAACCAACGACAACCAGTATAAGTATGTTTAAGCTTAACCATATTTCTTTTACTATTATTTCGTTTAATATCAAAAGCTTAAATCGTACTCTAAGTATGTTTAAACTTTACTCTCTCGTCTCTGCCTTTCTATGATTTCACAGCATTGAAGCCATAACAATATCACCATTGTATTATATTAGTTTCTAAATACCTAGTATTCCATATCTTTCAAAGAAATAATTTAAAGCATCCATGGAATACCAAAACATTGATCATTATAAACAGGAAAAAAAGAATATTATGTATTGACTCGAACAGAAAACCACCACTTTCATTTAACTAAAACTAAATTAAGAAATATCACAACATGGTATACCTTTAAGATGAGAAAGGAAGCAAGTTTTACCCCATTCCCTCCCTTCGAAGGCCCCCACTAAAATAATTACTTATAAGTGTATAGTATTGTTCACTACAAAAGTCTAAAAGTCTGAAAAGACCAGTTTTTGTCTTAATTTGCATGAACTTTTACTCGGCATTCTCCAAAAGTATGACTTGTGTCTTAATTTTTCTTGACAAATTCTCATTTATATTAAATTTGTATGAAATTTACTCGACATATTCTCGACATTCTGAATATGGTCTTAAAATTTCTTGACAAATTCTTGACATTTGAATACTGTCTTGAAATTTCTCGACATATTCTCGACATTCTAATTTTTTCTCAGTATGGCTTGACATATTCTGAACATTTTGAATCGTGTCTTAAATTTACATGACAGTTCTGAGTTTTACAAATCATGACCAATATTCATGATATAACTTTAATCTTTATTTCTCTTTATATGATATACTGTTGTTTCAAGTTACACTTCTTTACAACAAAAATAAAAGTTGGGCATGTAAAATAATTGAAAATTTGGGTATATAAATATTTTTACAAACGAAAATATGGCTATGAAATCTAAAGTATAAAATAATTCAAATGTGGGTGTGTTGATATAAAACAATTTCAATGTGGGTTTTTAAATAATTACAAATTTTGATTCCTAAATCTTATAAATTAAATGATTCAAACCAATCATACTGTAGACATATTTCATTCTACATTCATAATATTCAATGTTGATATGATAAATAATTATTATACCAAAATGTGGTTTATATAAATAGCAAATTATGATGATATACAAATCATTCATTTAACAGAAGAAAAATTTGTGTAATGTCATCTGTTGGAATATATTAAGTATTACACATGGACAGGATGTTCCCCATAAAATTAAGGTATTCCACACCCCAGAGTACACGCAACTGTCAAATAGAAGTAATTGCTTTACCTGTAATCAGCCATACAACTTATCAGTTGACCGACCATGCCACTACAATTTAAAAAGTTTGTTGATAGATGAAAATGAAAATCATCATTTTGATGAAAAAAAATTGAATTGAAATGGATTTTCTTCATCAAAATTATGAAGTTAATTATTTTAACATACAAACAAATTGAAAAATTCCCAAAGATTAAAAGAAAATTATTATCTACTCCAGGAATAATAAAAAAAATGTATTTATAATGGGTCCCATCAATGATTTCTATAGAAATCATCGGTCTTATGAAATGGTTCTCAAACAGACATGCATAATATAGATCTAAACATTTTTTTCTTTTCAGGAAGGAGTTATCACAAATATTTATTTTTGATAAAAAATTATAAAATTCAACACTCAAATTTGAATAAAAAAATGTTTTTGGGTTGTTCTAAAAAATGAATAAGGTTTTTGAATCAAGATGGGAACAAATTCTTTGACCTAAACGAAAGCCCCCTCTTTTTTTAGCCACACAAACCCAAAAGATGAATTGTGGGGTCCAAAAGTGATACAAGACACATATTTTAGTAAAGCAAATTTGACTGGCAGTTTTGCGAACGGCAAAAATCTAAATGCTGTTTGTCAATACCTTCGACTTATATTCCAAGTGAAAACAATTACTTAAATGTTTAATAAAAATAAATCAAAATTAAACTACATGGGGGATTATTCAGGGTATTCCAACTTAGTTGCACCAAAAGGGTATCTTACTATACGAAATTAATCCTTGATTCTTCAAAGTTTAGTTTAGCCATAATAAAAAGGTGTATATAACAGCAATAGAATGTCATAAACAGTGCAGAATAAGTCTGTTCACATTTCAGGCGAAATTTATACTGTTGAGATAGTGTCAAGACATATTTAAGACTGTCAAGAATGTTTCGAGACATATTTAAGACTGTCAAGAATGTGTCGAGACATATTCAGACATTATTTAGAATGTCAAGAATATGTCGAGACATATTCAGACATTATTAAGAATGTCAAGAATATGTCAAGACAGATCGAGACAAATTTAAGACAGTCAAGAATTGGTCGAGACTAATCCAGACTCTTATCAGATGATACAGGAAGTGTCGAGAAATTTTAAGACAATGTTTATACTGTCAAGACACTTGTCAAGACAAATCAAGAACCTTATTAGACAAATTCATACTATGTCAAGAATTTTTAAAAATTATTCAGACAAATTAAGAATGTCGAGTAAAAATTCATGCAAATTAAGACAAAAACTGGTCTTTTCAGACTTTTTGACTTTTGTAGTGGTTACAACCAACAAATTTTGCATACATGCATGGTTTATTTAAACAAACATATCTTTTATCAAAAAAATATTGAAAGTGTATGAGAAAGTATAGACGGGCTGAAGCCTATGCTTTACAAAAAGTAACAATTCATGAAAAAGGAAGAAGCCTGTATATTTTATGACGACAAGCAACAGTACATGTAAAAGCTGAAGCATATTAACGTTATGACAAACAACAATACATGCATGTAAAGGGTGAAGCATATAAATGTTATGACAAACAGCAATACATGCATGTAAAGGCTGAAGCCTATAAACGTTATGACAAACAACAATACATGAATGTAAAGGCTGAAGCCTATAAACGTTATGACAAACAACAATACATGAATGTAAAGTCTGAAGCCTATAAACGTTATGACAAACAATAATACATGCATGTAAAGGCTGAAGCCTATAAACGTTATGACAAACAACAATACATGCATGTAAAGGCTGAAGCCCATACACGTTATGACAAACAACAATACATGCACGTAAAGGCTGAAGCCTATAAACGTTATGATAAACAACAATACATGAATGTAACATCTGAAGCCCGTACACGTTATGACAAACAACAATGCATGCACGTAAAGGCTGAAGTCTATAAACGTTATGACAAACAACAATACATGCATGTAAAGGCTGAAGCCCATACACGTTATGACAAACAACAATACATGCACGTAAAGGCTGAAGCCTATAAACGTTATGACAAACAACAATACATGCATGTAAAGTCTGAAGCCTTTAAACGTTATGACAAACAACAATACATGCATGTAAAGGCTGAAGCCCATACACGTTATGACAAACAACAATACATGCATGTAAAGGCTGAAGCCCATACACGTTATGACAAACAACAATACATGCATGTAAAGGCTGAAGCCTATAAACGTTATGACAAACAACAATACATGCATGTAAAGGCTGAAGCCCGTACACGTTATGACAAACAACAATACATGAATGTAAAGTCTGAAGCCTATAAACGTTATGACAAACAACAATACATGAATGTAAAGTCTGAAGCCTTTAAACGTTATGACAAACAACAATACATGAATGTAAAGTCTGAAGCCTATAAACGTTATGACAAACAACAATACATGCATGTAAAGTCTGAAGCCTATAAACGTTATGACAAACAACAATACATGAATGTAAAGTCCGAAGCTTATAAACGTTATGACAAACAACAATACATGAATGTAAAGTCTGAAGCCCATACACGTTATGACAAACAACAATACATGCATGTAAAGTCTGAAGCCTATAAACGTTATGACAAACAACAATACATGCATGTAAAGTCTGAAGCCTTTAAACGTTATGACAAACAACAATACATGAATGTAAAGTCTGAAGCCTATAAACGTTATGACAAACAACAATACATGAATGTAAAGTCCGAAGCCTATAAACGTTATGACAAACAACAATACATGAATGTAAAGGCTGAAGCCTATAAACGCAATAACGAACAACAATACATGAATGTAAAGGCTGAAGCCTATAAACGTTATGACAAACACCACTATTAGTATTATAATGATGATAAGCAGCTACCAGTGCATCTGGTGCAGGTGGTGAATGAGCTCTTTATGGACGGTTAACCTCTTCTAGACTGGCGAACTTGGTTATAGATAGAGGCTTCGTGACAAAGATATCCATTAAATTTATCAGTAGATAGAGCAGCCAATTCATTTGTAAATACGTTGTATCATGCACATTTTTTTCCACATCTTAGTTTCTTCCATAAAAGGAAAACCTGAAATAACATTTATTTAAAAACATTTTTTTGATTTTCGTCACCACCTGGTTGCTGACAAGGATATGCAGATTGCAATTAAATAGTATTCAAGTGTTGAAGTTCACCAAGTTCTTGTAGAGATAAAAAAAAAATGGCTGGTATCTTGACTGTATTGGTATTTGACTGAAGTCAGTCAGTACGAGATAGGGTTGGTTGGTGACAAGGGTATGCATGAAATTGATCAGTAGATAGAGCAGTCATTTTATTTGTTAATACATTGTCTCATGCACATGTATTCCACA